GAGGTTCACCAAGTGCTGCGCCTGTCACGAAATATGCACTTCAAGGTTCACCAAACGCTGTGCCTGCTACGAAATATGCACCTCGAGGTTCACCAAGCCACGAAATCTGCACTTCGAGGTGTGCTGCGCCTGCCATGAAATCTGCACTTCGAGGTTCACCAAGTGTTGCGCCTGTCATGAAATCTGCATTTCGATGATTTTCAAGCGCTGCTGCAACGAAATCTGCATTTCGAGGTTCACTAAGCGCTGCACCTGCCATGAAATCTACACGTCGAGGTTCACCAAGTGCTGTGCCTGCCACGAAATACACACTTCGAGGTTCACCAAGTGCTGCGCCTGCCACGAAATCTGCACTTCGAGGTTCACCAAGCGCTGCGCCTGCCACGAAATCTGCACTTCGAGGTTCGCCAAGCGCTGTGCCTGCTACGAAATATGCACCTCGAGGTTCACCAAGTGCTGCGCCTGCCACGAAATCTGCACACAAAGTGCTGCCCCTGTCACGAAATCTGCGCTTCGAGGTTCACAAAGCGCTGTACCTGCCATGAAATCTGCACATCGAGGGTCACAGAGTGCTGTGCCCAGAGTGCTGTGCCTGCCACGAATTCTGCAAACTAGCCACATGTCCAAGAGTCACGATTCACAGCACTTGTCACGAAATCTGAGCTCCTCGACGATCACCAACATGTCCAAAGTGCTGCACCTGCCACGAAAACTGCATCAGCTCCGATCCCTTGCACCTGTCACGAAAAGTCGACTTTGAAGCACCAAAACACGAGGTTTCCCCTGCGCCTGCCACGAAAAGTGACCACCATGTGCGAAAATGCGCACGGCACCACAACGAGAGCGCAGTCGCTAGAAGCACCCGCCGCGGACACCCAGATTCTGCGACCCTGCGCAGTCGAAGTGCACATGGACGATGTCGAGAGGCATGAATGTACTGTAAATAGCAGCGAATTGGCCGGACACGCCCGCGACGCACAGCGATCTAAGCACACCTGCTTTTCTTTTGCCGTGAGAACCCCTCAGTGTGCCCACACTGTTTGGGGAAAAAAATGGTGTCCCTTGCGGCTTGAGCCATCCTCAGATTCTTTTCAGGCTGACATGTTTGAGAAACGTCATGCTGGTTGTGTGCCTCCAAATTGAAGACTGTAATGCCCTTCAACAACCTCAATGTAGTGATCAGTGCTTAGACTTAAAGTGTCATCTTGAAAGAACGAACATGTCCGTCTGATGGGATCTGATGGGTGTCGCGTGAACCGCTTGCGATTGCATGGACCTTCACATCTGCAAAGCCGTTGACAAAACCAAGCTCACGGCTCGTTAACGGACAAGCTCTTGCTGCCTATGAAGGTATCCTGTCACATACACGTAGAGCAGCGATCGATTGATTGGTCCGATTTTAGGTGGAATGTCTTTGGAATAGCGGAATATCCCATACACATGTATATAGTTTTTGAATATTGATTTACTTTTGTGATTTATGATTTGTGGAGTGGGGTATCTCGGCTCAGTCACACATCACAGGAGGTCAGTCACTTGCGCCCACCGTGTTTGACATTCAAATACCTCCAATACCCTGATGTGATCTCATTCATGTGTGAATCTGTAGTGTAGTGTTCCTCTTCGTTTCAGAAGGGTTGAGGATTTAGAGTCAGAGTTCATTCGTTGGCTTCATGTGAAGTTGGATCGGCATCCGCTGGGTCCGCTCCGGACGTGTTTGATTTACCATTCTCACCGAGCACCGCTTCGGCTCAATCCTGTCACCCTGTGACTCTGTGGGTCATGGAAACGAAGTAAACACATGCAACACTACATGTTGGACGTTGTAGGAGCGGACTTCAAAGTCGGGATATGAAATCGCTGCTCCGTTGCAAGAATCAAAGGGTTCCTACTGCTTCAATACCTTGAGCGAGTAGGTTGCAGGCCATCGCTATTAGGTTGGAGGGCATCGCTATCATCATTATCAGTAGTTGACTCAAAAGAGAAACTGATGGACGAGGAATAGAGAGGAAACGACAGGTCTTTGTGCCTATACCGTACCTCCAAGCACACGGTGGCAAAAACCACGGTATTTAGTATCCAAACCATCGCTGGACTCAAGAACAACAGCAAACCATCCACCTACACCTCTACAATTCTGATGGTCCAATGCCTTGCAAACGCAGTCTTCACGTTGACAGAAACTGTGTTTGACTGTGGCTGTGAAGGGAGATATCGGTAATTCTTTGGAGCTCAAATGCCCCTCTCCTCGGCACTTCCGGAGTCAAAGAGAAGAAAGTTCAAGAATTGATCCTGGGACAGGTCTGTGAAACGCAGCTGAGAGCTCAACTTGTGCTTACCCTAACCCGTGCTGCGTAGTACACATGCACACCGTATCAAACCGCAGCAAAAAAATCCATGCTTCTAAATGATTTGCACGTCTACGACCTTTGTTCGGAAAAGAGGGCTTGTTGAGTCTCCATGGGCTTTCCTAGAGCTCTAAAGCCTCTAAAAAGCTAAATGGCCCAGAACCTCCGAACTACAGATCAGCAATACTGGCCAAAGGTGCTGGCTTGTTGTAAACCTCGGGCGCAGGGCGCAGAAACGCCAAATCCGAAACCCAGTGCATGCACCTCGTTTCCCAAAAAAGCAAAGACAACTGAAGTCAACTGAAATCTATGTGTCTCGTGCCGGCACGAGCTGATTCCGGATTCAGACATGAACCCAGGTGGTTAAAGCTCTTCTTGGAGAATTAATTGAAATAGAACGTGTTGCAACGCTGCAGGCAAGAAGGTCCTTTCTCGGTTGAAATCAAACTCCTGCTCCCTTCCCTCCTGTGATCCCCGGACACGTGCGAGGTCAAGGCTTTTTTGATACTTGGGATTGGTATCGCTCAACACCTGAACCGCGATCGTGCACGGAGACTGTCAGGTGCCATTTTGGGAGCAAGCAAGGCCCTGCGAAATCGTCCAATGCGGGAAATTGACCCTTGCTTTGACCGCTTTCTGTGCGGGATGAATTCTCGACTTTGAACGGCCAAAAAGAGCTGTGGAACATGTCAAACGCCAAAACCAACGCCGTCCCTTCCCGACCTCTGTCCGATCGGTCTTGTCTGCAGAGGCCGAGGTCCGACCCTTCCTGACGGCCGAAAAGGGATGCGTTCGTAGCTAGAAGAAGCTACGTTCGTAGCTTCTAAGTGCCTTGCTACGTTCGTAGCAAGGCACCTCTTGTTACTAGTAGACGATTGAGTCGTGACACTCTGCGCCGCAGAGATCGCCGGTGTCTCTCGGTGAAGCGCTCTTGAAAACGCCCCGTTTCACAAACACGTGCCAGGTGGGATCTGACCTAAATGAGCAAACCTGCAAAAAAAAAATATATATATATATATTGCCACTGCCAATGATACCAAAACAATATAAACAGCTAGAACGGAGGGCATTACTGCAATTTCATGTTCATGCTCAAAAAGTGCATTTTGCAGATTGATCTCCTTCAGAACATGTGCTAGGCTGCTACACGAAAAGTCTGGGTCCACCCAACTCATCTGGATCCTTGGAGAAGCCACATTGCACCTGCTGGATGGGCATAAGGCTTAAGGTTCCGACTCAAGTGGTGTCCATCTGTCCTGCTCTGTCCACAAGCTGCACTGCCCCAAGTCGATGCGAAACTGAAAGTAATGGTTCGACAAGCCTCTAGAAATGGATCAACTCCGCCCAAGTAGTTCACTTCAGGCACATTCTTCACGGAGATGTCCTCATCTTTGGAGGGAATTATGCCAATCGCCAAGGCGACAGGAGACACGGCTGACAGTTCTGCATAGTTCCTAGTAGCCTTCTTATTACTAGTAGTAAGGCCAGGAGCTACTAGTAGCGTCCTTGCTCCTAGTGGCATCCTTGTTGCACAGTTCCAAAAGATTGGCCATTGAAATCGTTGCCACAGCAATTGCCGTCGCCTGGATGCAAATGGCGATCTGCTCACCTTCATTCAGCGTTCTGGTCTTCTCCTAGAGCACTCATGAGTCAGACTGAGAGTGATGGTTTTACACTCTGAGGGCTTCTCAAGCACACTCGGACATGTTTTTTATCTCTGAGCTTCGACTTGGGTCATCCAGTGTACGCTGTAGGATTTGAAGGCACACCCATATATATATATGTATATATGATGATCGATGACAAATGCAAACAGAAGAACACAACACATCAACTCTCTTTGGGTCAATGGCGCAAGGTAGAACCTGATGAGCCCTCTAAAATTGCTCAAAAGGATAACCCGCAACGGTGAGGTATCAAAAGCAACCAGAATTGTATCAACATGTATCAACACATGTATCAACTATCTGGCGTTCTCCGTCCGAACCCAGCAACTCTCAGTTGAAGATCTGTGACGTGGGTTTGTAAAAGTTTCCAATATCAGTATCTCCATCTCCGAGTCAGGTTGGAAGCCATTGCTATTGGGTTGGAGGCCATTGCTTCTAGGTTGATCAGAACGACTTTCTTTCATCGCCCTCTTTCCCCCGCTGACCTCGCCAGAGCCTGCGCTCCTTGGGCCCTTTCGGATGAACATCGAGACGAGCCTTCCAACCTCTGAAGCTGGCTTGCAACCTGAGCACGCCCGTTGATGCCGGTAACGGAAGGCGAGGCTCCCGAAGACCTCGGACAAAAGGAATCTTAGGGATGTGATGTAACAAAAAGGAACAGTGATTTCCAAACTTAAGGGGCTGTTCTTGGGTGACCAGCCACGTACAAGGTAGCAAACTGACCAGGCATCGAACAAACATGCGAACTAAAGGCGCCTCTTCCCCAGGCACAAGCCTTCGAGCTTTTCTTTTGAAGCTGTGCAGACTCGCTCTAATCTCTGTCTGTGGCGACCAGCAATTCGTTTTAGGAGAATCTCGCGTGATGGATGCAAACGGGCAACCCGATTCGCTCCATCTTGCTTGGTTGAATGAAAGACATGTCCAAACCGATTCTTTCCAAAGCATTCCAAAGCAAGACTTGTGTCTGCCACACTGCACAACCAGCCCTTCAGTCTTCCCATGTCTCTCAAACAGCCACAGTCACCTCAGCGCCAGTGGCACGGTGTTTAGTTTCTTTACAAAACAGTACGGGAAAGGCACACGCAGACCGGAGGCACACGGGACACCACTAGCGTCACATCTGGGCATCAAAGACGAATTCCTGGCAGACTGAACTAAATACCGGAACTCGTCCTCCCTTTACGATCTTGGCTGGTAGAAACCATGAAATTGCCCAGTTGATCATTTATTCAGCATGCAACATCATGCAACTCCCATGGGTGACACCATCACTTTCGCTGTCAGAGCTCGGCTAGGCACGTTGTCAGCAGACAGACTCCTCACTGTCAGACGGTGTCATCTTTTGCTGCTGCTCGGTGACACACATGGAACAAAGCCTACCAAAGTTTGACTGGAGGTTGCGCAAAAAGCACCTTAGTAAGCACCTTTTGTCATTAGCAATCGAAGATCAGAGAAGTAATTAGTACTCAAAGAGCTGCGTCGATGTCTGCCAAAAACTCAATCCTGGAGACTGAAACGCTTGGAGATCAATTTCAAGTCCGTCCTCAAAGAGCTCTGGTACTGCAAAGGCTCCAAGTTCCTGAAACACTCCGCCCCCAGAATGGCCTCTGGCCCAGGTTCATTCAGGTTCCAAAGCCATGGTTTTGGTATGTTTTGCTTCGTCAGGGTTCAGTGTCTAGAGTCCAACAAATCAGGCCTTTCAACAACGAGCCGCTGCGCGTCGATGCGCACAGCGAGCAGCTGGGTGGAGGGAGAAGCCTTTGAGTCTGTTCCTAGTAGCTTCTTGTTACTAGTAGTAATGGCCTCCAACCTACTAGCGATGGCCTCCAGCTAGATATCATCGTCCCAAGTTCCGAGCGTAGGCTGAACGTGCCTTTAAAAATACTTCGTGGCACGCCCCAATGAACAGTCAATGAAAGGGGGTTCATCCACCTGTAGCCAGGAATGCTTCATCATGCAACAGTTCTACAGAGCCGGGTCATTTGGCAATTCAACAAACCTTCATCTCACGCAAAACCTTTCCTTTGAACTTGGAACCCTTTCGTCATCCCGAGTCTCTTGCAACGTCCCAAAGTCAGGTGCTGCAAGCCCAGGGGAAAGGCCACATTCTCCAAATTCTGCTCGAAGCTTTTGGGAAAGGTAAGGCTCTGCAAATTGGTGGGCCAAGTTACACCTCACATCTCTTCACATCTCACATGCTCAGCTCAAGAAGCACTGAAGAGATGCCGAGCCACGCTCCAAGCTCTGGTCAAATTGATGCCCAAAGGCCAGACTTCGCAGATTCGACGGCCACTTTACATGCTCCAAGCTCCGGTTGAATTGATATCCTGCACACTGGCACTGAACGAAATCTTCGATCGTTTCTCGTCTCGTTTCTGGTCTCCCCAACAGGATTTGTGCCCAGTGTCCGAAGGTCAATTTTTGCAAAGTGCTTGGCCACTTCACATGATCCAAGCTCTGATTGAAGCATGTGCCAAGTGCCAAGTCTTGCAAGTTGCCCGGCAGAATCATGTCCTGCAACGGACAAACCATGTCAATGTAGCCCAACAGGTACAACAGTACACCCTCGACTCTTTCAATCAAAGAAACGATGCTGAAAACAATTTGCTTAGAGGCCAATCCAAGTTGGAACCCTTCGCCAAACAGTTGGACCATGTACGTCAACAATTAAGACTTCTTGCTCCGTGCTCCGATGCGCTGAACGAACCTTAAGGTCCGAAACAGCATCCATCCAACCAAGAGATGGTGTCACATGTCGCCTCAAGGCTCTGGTTGAAGCTCTCGCCAAATCTGAGGCTTTCTAACGTCTCCTGCCAGTTTCGTCCGATGATCAAAGGTGGTCTGAGGCGCTCGCATAGGCTAGCCGCATAGGCTATCTTCTCTTTGGTTTTCTGGTTGAAACGGTGACCACAAACATACAAACAGTTTTCAGTAGTTGATTGACTGAAGACAAGATTTGAGGAGAAGTTCCACGAATGTAGACATCAGCCTTTGTCCGCATTACATCTTTCGAAAGACTTAATGAGCCACAACGACACAAAATCTCCCAAATATGGCCTAAGCATAGGAGGAAACTTGACCATTTGTATCCATGTGTCACACGTGTCACCTGGCTGCACCATACTTGGCGGCCTTGGTCGATTCCTACCACGTGGCGGCTGCGGCTAGTTCGAAGCAGCTTCGAGTCGGCTCTGCGGGCTCCGGCAGGCGGGTGAATTCCATGGATTGGTTGAAGCGATCGCCCAAGACAAGGCTTCGTAGAGTGGCCTCAGATGTGAGATGCGCATTTGTGCGATGGAGAGAACCTCAGGTGAGTAACGTGACGGAGAAATGGATGTTTCATGGATGTAAGAGAATAGATCAACTCCCTGAATTCAAAGAGACGACAAATCTCGTCCAGGAGACTGGGAGGTAGAGGTTGTCCAGGCTTTCATTGAAACAACCTCCCAAATTCAAAGACTGACGAAACTAGCATGGCAACTTCGAAGGCGGAAGTGACAATTGTGAATTCCACCTCCCTGGAACAGCGTGGCATTGTCTGAAGAACCATAGATGGCGAAAGAGATATAGACCAAGCACTGGGTCTTTTGAAGGAGTTCTTGCCATGCTGAAACTATGAGGGAAATCCTGCATGGGAAATCACTGCGCTTTCGCGCGCAGGCTACACGGCTGCTCCCCCGATCCTCCCAAGGTCAAACTCTCCAGGGAGAAGTGGAGCTGAACAGACCGAAGGCTCTCATGGAAGTCAAATCCAAAGTGCAAGCTCCGCCTCTGCTGAGTGCTGGTGCTGCAAAAAACCTTTCTGTGACAAGCAGAATGCCAACTTTGCAAATGAGTTGCAAGCCACTTGGAATTCGCATGCCTTGAGCGTTGAAAGACACACGTATAGATACAAATGGCATGACCATGGGCAAATCTGTATCTTATAATTTTGCTGGTGTTACATATACATATGGCTGTGGGTCAGGAGCTCCAAACCCCGGTAGGTTGACCTCCTACAGTCGTCTCCCGGCTTAACCGGTTTTGACCCACACAAATATAAATATGAATATGACATGAATAATATATGTATAGTATATATATATAGTAGCGATGCCAGCCCCTAGTAGCGTCCTTGTTCCTAGTAGCGATGCCAGCAGCCCCTAGTAGCGTCCTTGCTCCTTAATATACATATCCACTTCCATCCTCTCCAGGAATGGAAGGGAAGTAACATGTGTCGGGAGAGTTTCTTGGACTCTTGGACTTCTGACGTACTGAATTAGCGATTTCAGCCACAAATGACTGACATGGTCTACGACGAGTCTACAGGCGACTGACATCAGGATGCCCCTGAGTTCAGGATTTGCCATACTTAAGCCTTCATAATGGGTGTGGTTCCTTCGTTGCAAGTGTGCTCAAGGGATCATTACTCACTAGCCGCTCACTAGCCCCACTAGTCCACACATGCAACTGCCGCACCTCTGTAAAAAGCGGCCCCAAACTTCACTTCTGGTCCTTTTTTCTGTGCAGCAATAAACCAAGAGGGCTGATCCCCACTCCCGGCCACCTTATACTCTGACGGTTTCGTGCGACTTCTCTTCGAGAGGATTGGATTCTTCCTGCAAGAACGTAGCTGCCAAGATACATTGCAAACCGTGATTCACCAAGTGGGAGAGTGTCAAACTCTGCAAATCACCTGACTGGCAGAAGTGAGGTGTGTTTCCAGAATGCTGCGCACCAATCAACTTTCCTTTTTAGGTGCAAGCCTGTCTATTGGTGAGTTTGAATCAGCATCTGAAGAGCTTCAACGAAAAATCCAGACTTCCAGCATCTTCCACTTTATTCTAGGCTCATTACACGAGAGAGATTGTATTGCTCAAGATGCTAACATTTCTGAGCTTGCCCATTCAACGTAAAATCATGGTCACAGGGTCCACCACACCTGGAAGGCCTTCGATGTCTGAGCGATCACCAATCTTTGGCATGACTAAAGTGCGCAGATTCGGCAGCGAAAAATCTCGTGAACCTAAGCTCAAGCACAGCCACACCAACCGCGGTCTCTTCTATTTTACAATCGTGGGAGGCCGTTTATGTACTCCAAGATCTCTGCTTCACTTCACTCTCCAGTAGAGACTGCCTCGATGAACTTACGCAAAGGATAGGGGAAAAAAAAACATAACACACCAATACTGCGGTTTTGCCAAAACCGATACCTACTGCCCCAATCGCCGGGAAGTTCATCAAGGTTTTGCCCATCACTTCGCTTGGTTTTCCTGCATCAGTTTCCACGATACCTCAAGGAAACCGAGGTCTTCACACATCCACTAGGGTGGAGGCCATCGCTATTAGGGTGAAGGCCATTGCTACTAGGTTGGAGGCCATCACTGGTGGAGGCCATCGCTATTAGGGTGACCACAGGGTGGAGGCATTGCCATTATTAGGGTGGAGGCCATCGCTATTTAAATATTAGGGTGGCCATTGCTATTAGGGTGGAGGCCATTGCTAGTGGGTTGGAGGCCATCGCTTCTAGGCTGGAGGCCATGGCTAGAGGCTGGAGGCCATCGCTAGTAGGTCGGAGGCCATCGCTAGTAGGTTGGAGGCCATGGCTATTAGGTTGGAGAGCAAGGTTGGAGTCGGAGGCCATTGCTAGTAGGTTGGAGGCCATTGCTAGAAGGTTGGAGGCCATTGCTATTCGGTTGGAGGCCATCACTATTGGGGTGGAGGCCATCGCTATTAGGGTGGAGGCCATCGCTGTTAGGCTATTAGCACAAAATGAGGGTGGGTGGAGGCCCTCGCTATTAGGGTGGAGGGAGGCCATCGCTAGTAGGAGGCCATGGCTAGTAGGTTGGAGGCCATCGCTTCTAGGTTGGAGGCCATCGCTCCATCCTTCATGCCAAGTCACATTGCTTAAAGGCACATCCAAAGATGAGACTCCGCAAAGCAGTTGGAAGCCTCACCCCGTGCCTAGGCACCAATTCAAGCCGATGCTGAAATGATCTGAAATGTATCTCAGTCCCATCCAGGACAACGCAGCCCAGGTCTCAATGCCGGGTCGACTCACTTCAAGGTACATTGGTTTCGTAAATCCATCTCCCAAGCGTAGTGATAGTAGGCCAATGGGTAGAGTCACAAGGTCCAAGCTCTGATTGAAGGTATTGCCGAAGGTCAAGCTTTCCAAGCCTGAGACACAAAGAATTCTACAGTGGACTCTACAGTATCTATAAGGAGAATGTGGCAGTGGCCTTCTGAGATCCAAAAATGGTCCCCGAGCGAGTGAGGTACCTGGTTGACCTTTTTCACAAATGGGAACCGGTATATGTTCTTACTGCTGCAAACAGCCTGATGTGAGGTACTGGTGGTTCTGGATGCCGGCCTGCTGGTAGACATACTCGCTCGAGACTCTGGTTGAAGAAATGCCCAAAGGTCAGGGTTTTCAGATGGCTTGGCAATGTCACGGCCTCTAGAGATTGATTGTACCTGAGCCACTTGCATGGGGGTGTCTGGGCATGGACTTGTGGGACAGAGATGCAGCTCGGAAATTCAAGCAACCATGGACCATGGACCACTTAGAAAACCCCCGTCCCGTCAACAGTTGACAGAACTCAGACTCACATCCGCAAACAAGACACCAAGCGCCCAAGGTCAAACAGCCTGACGGCGGGGCGGCCGAACCGTGTCGAAAATCAAACCAGCCCCGGAACGTAGCGTCCTTGTTCCTAGTAAAACCAGTCATGTCATTCAAAGGGATTCCGCCGAACATCTTTTCAATCAGGGAGCGTAGTCCAGAAGGCACATCTATCTGCTTCAAGCTCTGATTGAAAGACTCTCCAAAGGTCAGTTCTTGCCTTCGCTCTGGGCCACACAAAAATCAGTCAAATGGCACCCCAAAAAAGAAAGTAGCAGCATAAAAAACCAGAAAACGTTTGAAGCAAACGTCTGGTTGCAGCATATTCGGAAGTTCCACGAACTCGAGGCTTTGTTGAAAGTTTGAACCAAGAGTCAGGCTCTTCAATCCATCTGGAAGTTTGAGGTGCTCCAAAGGCTTATTAAAGCAATATCCGAAGGCCAAAGATTCCAAGCTGCTTGGAAGAGAAATTCGATCCAGTCTCTTGTTGAACTCGAATCCAAACGAGAGGCTCTTCAGACCCTTTGGGAGATACATCTCGTCCTTGACAGCGGCATTTCCCGAAGGCCCCGAAAAAGAAGTTGAGGGCGCAAATGAAGGGTTCTGGTCCAAAAAGGCTCACTGTACAAGATCGAGAAAACCCTCTTCACAACGAGAAAAGCATCTAATGCTTGGTTGAAGTCATCGTCCAAGCACAATGTGGTCAAGCTCTCAGGCAACTTGACTTCTGGATGGAGATTGCGCTTTCCGTACCTAATTGAAGTCAAACCATCGAGTGCATCATCGTCTAAACACGCTGAAGTCAAGCACGTCCAGCAGCGGTGCCTTTGGCATCAGTTGCAGCCAAATAAACAGCAGGGCAAAGGTCAAACAGCAAAGCCATGCAGCTCTCGGTTGTGCTGAGAATAGACCCGTCCTACTTCCAACTGAGTCTGTGGCACATTCACCGGCTGGTAGACGAAACAAAGAGTGTGCTTCTGTGAGCCAATGTCTCTCCTAGCTGATACATGCCCGGACAAGAATGGAGAGCAAGAAATCTCTTTCAGCTCAAGGATCAATCCTGCGTGGAACTAACTAGACCCATTCTTTTTCCTATATGTCTTGCTTGGCACTGAACCTGCGCAGTAATTACCTTGCCAGCATGTATGGAACATCTCTGTCCTTGTCGTGGTCTCTGTTGCTTCTGCATCTGCATGATCTCTAGGTTTCAGTATCTCTTTCAACGTTGAAGCACTCGATTTGCCGGAACTTATTCGAGTGTTCTCATGTAGGAGTGCCTAAGGCTGTCGAGGAGACTGGACAAAAATATAACATAGCCTTGCAAACCCTTTCCAAGATCTCCAAAAAAATATCCCATGTCCCATGTCAAGCAATGCCTTCCTTTGTGACCCACACAATGTTCATGGGATAATCGTTCCATGCACATCATATTGAACATCATGGCTGATCTCTTTTACACTTCAAAACGATCGATTACAGCTCATCAAACCTACTAGTAAAGCTTTCACGCGTTGTCAACAGAGTCTGGCTTTTTTCATCTCCAGCGGTGCCGCTACGCGGTGCCGCTACGCGGTCCCTTTGGTCTTGCTTTCCGAGCCGCCAGGGTCGTGGACGGCTTCACTTGCAGCTTCTGCCGGAGCTGCTGCAGTAGCTCCTGCCCGGAGGTCTCTTCAGGGACACCTTACAGGGAAAAGCTTGTGAGAGCCATGTTCGGGACACCTCGCATCTTCAAGTAGCTATGGCTGAAATGGGAGCGGCCCTGTCATATTCTGACAGAAGATAATCTGTCAATGCAACAGTCATCATATTTCTTTGCTACCAAGCCACAGAAGTGGAACTCACCACCATCCAAACCAACGACTCGCAACTCCATGGCATTCGCAACTCACCCACAGCAGCAATTCCCCTTGACCCTGTCAGTTGAGAGCTGAGTGATTCGAGCCCAGGGGCGTCGAGGCACAGTTCGAAGAACCGCCTAAGAGTGTATAGGGTCCTGATGAACAAAAGACCAATCTGGGCATGGACACTAAGTTTTGATGTGCGTTCTTCAAAACTTCCAAGGACAGGAAAGCCTCGTTCTTGGATGCTCAAAAAGGCCCAGAGCATGACTGGATAGTTCAAAGTTCTGCAAGCACGTTTCAGCGAAGGAGAATGTCTAAGCTCTCCACTTCAGGACTGCCTCGCAAGCTGGCGAAAATCCAAGGACGGGAGCATGTGAGGACCCTTCGTGGGTCCTTCTTGGTTGCTTGAGATCATAAGGGAATCCCAAATTGTTCCTGATGTTAGAGCGAAAACATGTCGCCCTCGAACGGACATTTCTTGAGCCATGAGCGAAGTGCATGGTTTCATGCTGGTTTGAAAGCTGATGGAAGCATGGTTTGCGCAACCACACTCCCCCTGATAGCATCGCTATCACCGCATTTCGACTGCAGGTTTTTTCATCCACAGTCTACTCTGCAAAAGCTGCCGTCTGACGTTGAATCGTCAGGATCCCGAAGCCCTGGTGGTGGTCCCACCTCAGTTGCAATGCCCAACCAAATCGGCAGCTGGTCCGCCTCTGGCGGAAGTGAATCCTCAGAGGCTTGTGCTTGCTCCCTCGCTTCTCGGCCAGGGTCAAGATCGACCTCACCCCTTCGTCCGCATCCATGCAGGCGGAGATCATAGCCCGTCATCCTGCCACCCTCGATGAAGTCACTGCCTCGTGCACTGAACCCCGTTCCATCATAGGTGGTGCCCTCGTCACAACCTTGTCCTATCTCCTGCCGCTCATCTCTTGGTAGGGCCGCTTGACCCCGCTGTGCTGCTCTGGATGCTCCAGGATGGAAGTTGCCATAGCCACCAGTTGGAGCCACCGATCCAGGCGAAGGTATTGGCCCTGGAGAAAAACCATGCCGTTCTTGGGTTTCTGAGCCTCCCTCACGCGAAGGCCCAAACTTCACATAGAAAAAGGAATATCCACACCACTCGTAGATGCCGTGGACATCACAATTTCGATTCTCAATCCAATCGTCAGTGACGACCGTCCTCCTCCACACTTCCCGGGGATTTCCCCGAGAGAAGGTCACTGTGACCCGGGTGGCAGACAGGCTGCCGATTGACATTGGTGTGCCTCTGTGTAGTGGATGGTATGCTTGAACCCTGGATTTCTTGAGAACCCTCACCCACCATTCACCTCCACCCAATCCCACACCAAGGCACTCCCACCGATCGTTTCCGGTCGGCGGTGATTGAAATCTCATCAGCTCCCAAGGCAAGTCAGTGCCTAAGCCCACATGCCGCACCGGAGCCCTCAGAGCACTCAAGTGAGGCGGTTGCTGCATCCATGGCTTGCACGATCGATCGCGGCCGCGGGAGCCCGTGGGGCTAGTGTCGCGTCCGCTGGTGAGGACAGGTTCATCTTCCCTTGTCCCATCTTGAATCTTTCTTTTTTCGACACTGCTCTCTTTGGATGCCTTGGTCCAAGCAAGTGCCGGGTTGCAATCTCTTGAAAGGTCTTCTCTCCCTTTCCCTCCCATCAAACATGCTATACTAGCAGCTACCGCAGCTACAGTGACACACTTGGCAACCTTCGCAAGCTCTTGCACTGGCTGCCAACAAGCTACACCTATCAGCCCACTCAGAAGTGCCACCAGCTTCTTCAGACGTGAGCTGTTCTCTTGGTTGTTGAGGTCAATAGAAGCTCCCACACCCAAGCCCGTGAACTCACAAAATCTTGACCATGCTGCTGGGCTGACAATTGACTTTGTCAGCAGGTCCACCGACAAGGATGCTCCGGGCTCATGCTTTGCTCGCCAACAGCCGGTGCGAATCCTCTCTCTCAACACAAAGCTCCTCAGCCTCAAGTGCCGCGTCCTCCACGGCCCGTCGGGCGATTGCAAAATGCGAATGCCTGACTGAGAGTCACCATGAGGCACACAGTTCACTGCCTCATTTCCATCACCACTCTCCAGAATGGCTACAACGGTCGCGCAAGATTCCCCCCATCGTGAGGGCGTCCGTGTACCACCGCCTCTGAGCTTGACAAAGTTCCAAATGGCTGTTGTTTGCTTTCCCATTGGATCAAGGCTCCGGAGTACACCGCCATCAACCCCTGATGCCCTCGAGACCCAGGTGGACCAAATGAGGCATCAGAGTACATGTGGATGCCCCTTTCCTCTGCATGATCCTGCTCTCCCTTGGGGCGGTGAGTGTACAAAAGGCCATAGTCCAGGGTGCCCTGTAAGAAGCCCAACACCTGTGTCCCATACTTCTGAACCCGAACTGGACAGCGAGCCACATGCCTTCCCAGCCAAGAAACCGCATAGGAGATGTCCACCCGGGTGCGAACTGCAAGCCAAAGAAGCTCCCCCACCAATGTCTGGGCCCGTCGCACTTCCTGAATATCAGGGTCAGGCTCATCAGAATCATCCAGGCAACCTGGCAGTGGGCTTGGTGCCGTCTTCAAATCAGGATACCTTGCCAACAGGTCCTTCAGGTAGGCGTTCTGGCGAAGACGAACTGAGACACCTCAAATCCACAGAACTTCAGGGTATGGTGCTGTGACAGCCACTCCGGAGGTGAACACTTCCACTGATCTTGAAACCTCCTGATAGTCGAACGAGCCACAGCATCTTCTCCAGTAACTAGGATATCATCAACATACACTGCCACAAAGGCATAGACCTTGTCCGGCATGTCCACCTTCTCCGGGTTTTCCAGCACCACTTTCCACAGGTTCGGCTCTTGGGTCCTCAGCAAACGCCAACCCACTCCATTGTCCTCCCATCGGAATCGAGCCATCTCTTCGTCCCGGAAAAGCGCCCAGTTGATTGGTGCTTCTTGCAGGCCGTACAAGGAGTTCTTGACCTCCCAAATCTCGCCTGGTTGGCATACTCCAGCTTCGATCAACACCCGTGGTGGGCGAGTGATGAGCAGTCGTCGCGATGCATCTCGTCGGGGTGCTAGCAAGAACGCGGTCTTGACGTCCAGGCTGGCCGTCGACCACCCTTCCAAAGCACTTTTCCTCAACAGTGCTCTGAGCACTGTAGCATCTGCTCCACCAGCATAGAGCGCAAAAGGTGAAGTTGACGTTGGTGCCTCCAAGGGACTCAGTACCTTCTCCTCGGCTTGAGAACGAGTGAGGTGATTTCCACAAATGACCACCCTTGCCCTGTGGCGACCATGAGGGCTCTTCACTCTAGGAACCAACATCGCTGGAGCTTCTTCTCTGTCGGGGTAGCGAGGATCAAGCTTCAAGGCCTCCTCTGTAGTTGGAAAAATCGCCTGAGTTGTCTGAGACAGAGAAGTGTACTCATCTCGAAATGGCTCCACCCACTTGTGAAGTTCTCTCCTCACCTGAGCCAGTGGGACGGTGTAGGTCTGGAGAACCAATGGTCTCCAACGCCTGATGCTGCTTGCTGAGGCACTCCTCCTGCACCCGAAGTTTCTCTTCCAGTTCCTGCAGCCATTGGCCATGTTCTCTACCTTGATCTGGGCCCATTGGAGTCACATTCAACTGCTCCAGCCACATCTTCGACTTTGCAGGTCATCTTCATACCATTGATGGGCTTGGGTCCACGAGCAGGCTTCCTGATCACACATCTCCTCCCCCGGGACCTGTGTCTCCTCCTGTCTCACTCCCCATCCCATCTCCTGACACCCGCAAAACCCACAGGGACCTCCTTGATCTTCTCGATGTAGACCCTGTTCTTGAAGTCTTCCTCTCTCCTGCAAAAGGCCGCAGTCTGGACATTCCTTCATCTCCTGAATTGGCTCTTCTTCTCTTGTGCCAGGATCAGGTTGCAAAAAGAAGGTGCCTTCCTTGGCTGATGTCCCCCCCCCTGTCCGGAAGTGTGTCAACGCTGCCAGGACAGGCCTTGCTGCATGCTCCACTGGCTCATATAGCCGCGGAATGACATCTTCCAGTGGATGAGGATCCAACCGTTGCTTGCTTCTATACTTGACCTCCTCTGCATCAATCGCCTGCAGTTCCAGGATGGCCTGATCTGCTTCAGGTACTGGTTGAATTGCAGCCCTGACATGTTGGACTTTGTTGTTTCGTCTCACCACCCAGCCACTTGTCATCAATGGGCTTGGACCTACCAGTTGCATGGACACGAAGGGATTTGCAATCTGTCCTGCCTTGTGCCATCTTTTGGATCGAACTGCAACCATAGCCCCGAAGCGATGCATTGGTTGAACTGCAATGCCAAGGTGCTGGAGTTGCTGACGGCACCGTTCCTCAGCTGCATGTCGAATCGCTCCAGGCCATAGATCAGGTTCCACCTGGGATTGGTGAAGGATCAACCTGAGCCGACGCTTCACTTGTTGCACTTCAGCTTCTGCTCTGCCATTGCTCTGGGGATCATCACCTTGTGTGAAGGTGTGGGTCATGTGTCTGTGACCACACCATGTTGCTACCCTTCTTGAAAGCAGCCCTTTTTCTCGATCGCTGTGAAGCCTCATCAAATTGATGCCCATGCAGCGAAAGCGAGCATGTAGTCGTGACAGTCCCGCTAGCAGCGACGTAACACTTCGATCCTCTAAGATCTCTATCATCGTGATGTTCTGGAGCTCGTGAGGTCGCTTCAGCTCTTGAATCGCCTCTAGATCCACCTGCTCCACTGGCTCCTCACCCTCCTCCATGGCCTCTCCCATGACCTCTTCATCGTCACCGGGACCCGGATCTTGGTCTCCAACTTCTTCTTCTTCATCTAAGCCTTCAACCGGCTCAACCCCCTCCAGGTGCTCCTCCTCCAAGGTCTCTACCTCCGGGGCACTGGGTAGCTGATCTGGAACTGGAATTGGAACAGTTCCCAGCAATGCATAGCGGGCCATCCTTCCAGTAGCAAGGTCCTTGACCGACGTGAACGGGCCAATGATGTCAATGGCCAGGGTGAAGGCCGCAGAAGCTGTCTTGGATCTTCGATGGGGATGTTGTGTACCCATCG